AACAAGACAACTATTAAGTGACCCAATCCCTGTCATTCAGTTCCAGCTTCTGGCCATCAGAGTTAGGGACACCCAGAGTATGGGGTTGCACCTCTGACCATTCTACCTGATAGCTATTAAGGAGCCGTTCTCCATGATATTAGCTTTTTTTTTAACCCAGTTATACTTCTGGCCTTCACAACATTTCCTGAAAATGATTTCCATAGACAACTATTAAGTGACCCAATCCCTGTCATTCAGTTCCAGCTTCTGGCCATCAGAGTTAGGGACACCCAGAGTATGGGGTTGCACCTCTGACCATTCTACCTGATAGCTATTAAGGAGCCGTTCTCCATGATATTAGCTTTTTTTTTAACCCAGTTATACTTCTGGCCTTCACAACATTTCCTGAAAATGATTTCCATAAGAATGGCCATATTGGGTCAGTCCAAAGATCTGTCTTGCTCAGTATTCATTTTTTTGACAGTGCCAATGCTAGGTGCTGCAGAGGAAATGAACAGAACTAGTAATCATCAAATGATCTATCCCCTTGTTGCCCATTCTCAGCTTCTGACAGATACAGGCCGCTAGGGACACCATCCCTGCCCATCCTGGCTAATAGTCATTGATGGACCTCTCTTCCATGAATGTATCTAGCTTTTTTTTTTTTTAACTCTTTTATAGTTTTGGCATTCACAACATCCTCTGACACGGAGATCCACCAGTTGACTGTGAACTGTGTGAAGAAGTACTTCCTTTTGTTAGTTTTAAACCTAATAGCTATTAATTTCATTTGGTGACTCCTAGTTCTTGTGTTATGGGAAGGAGTAAATTACTATTCACTTTCTCCATATGAGCCATGGTTTTATAGACTTATATCAGATCCCCCCCTTAGGCATGTCTTTTCCAAGCTGAAAAGTTTCAGTCTTATTAATCTCTCCTCATGTGGCAGACATTCCATAGCCCTAATAATTTTTGTTGCCCTTTTCTGAACTTTTTCCAATGCCAACATATCTTTTTTGAGATGAGGCAACCATATCTGCATGCAGTATTCAATGGCTGCATCTAGATTGGCATGATTTTCCAGAAATGCTTTTAACGGAAAAGTTTTCCATTAAATGCATTTTCGGAACAGAGCATCTAGATTGGCACGGACGCTTTTCCGCAAAAGCACTTTTTGTGGAAAAGCGTCCATGCCAATCTAGACGCACTTTTCCGCAAAAAAGCCCTGATCGCCATTTTTGCGATTGGGGCTTTTTTGCGGAAAACAAATCTGAGCTGTCTACACTGGCCCTTTTGCACAAAAGCTTTGCGCAAAAGGGACTTTTGCCTGAACGGGAGCAGAATAGTATTTCCGCAAGAAGCACTGATTTCTTACAGTAGGAAGTCAGTGCTTTTGCGGAAATTCAAGTGGCCAGTGTAGACAGCTGGCAAGTTTTTCCAAAAAAGCAGCTGATTTTCCGGAAAAACTGACCAGTCTAGACACAGCCTATATGTGTGAGTATCATGGATTTATACAGTGGCAGTAAGATATTCTCTGTCTTATTATCTACTCCTTAATGATTCCCACTTTTGATTGTCACTGCACATTGAATTCCAAGGGTTACTTGTATGTTGTGTGAAATACTAATTCCTTTTGTTTGTTTGAGAACTGTTGCCTATTAATTTAATGGATCTTGAATTATATGCCAGATAACTAATACTTCCTTATTCGCTTTTCCATACCATTCATTATTTAATAGACCTCTATCATACATTGGCATAGTCATCTATTTTCTAAGATGAACAGTCCCAGTCTTTTTTCAGTCTTCCTAAGATCTATATTCCTTGTGACAGGTTAGTCACAGAAATCCTTGTGAGACTGTCGCGTGATGTGCTGAAAATACCACTGCTCCTGCTTATCTGTTTTCTGAGGCACCCCATCACCCTGTCTGTTGAGACAAAATGTCGTGTTACCCAGCAATGGCACAGAATTGGGGTCTGTCAGGGTGTGCACCCCCCCCCCATGCCTCAGTGACCCACTGACTGTCTTCATCTACCCATCTCCGGGCAAGCTACAGTCTGTACGGGCCACTCATCACCGGCACAGGGTGTATATCTGTTGCCCTGCTTACATGGGCTGCGTTGCTACCACCCTCTAAGCCCCAGGCCTTGCCTCAGGCCCCCAACCAGGGAGTGCCTTAGCTGGCACTCTCCTAGCCCTGCCTGGCTGCCCCAATACAGTCCTCCCTCCTGGGAGCCTCCTGCTTCCTCTGCTGCCAGCTCTTCACTGCTCCCCCTCCAAAGCAAACTGTGCTTCTTTATATATCCCCCAGCTGGGCTCTCATTAGCCCTAACCGCCTCAGCTGGGTCTTTGCTTCCAGCCCCTGCTCCGAGCCTGAGTTTTGCCCTTAAAGGGCCAGTGCAGGGCAGGCGCCCTGTCACAGGGTCACAGACCACAGCAGAACAACACAGACACTAGGATCCACTCAGCTCTGGGAAATGAATAAGATTATGAAATGCTTATAGATTGCTTTAGAGTCTAAACACTAAATAAGTTCTCAAAAGACTAACACCTATTTTGAACAAAACTAACATACAGGTGAGCTGATTTGGTTTCCAGCTATGAGTTTCTTAATTCTAAGCTAATGCCTGTGGTTTTGACCAGAGCTGACCCTTGGTTTAATAGCAACCAGAACTGCGTGCAATATTCAAGCTGTGGGTATGCCATGGATTTGTATAGTAGCATTATGATATTTTCTGTCTTATTATGTATCCCTTTCCTAACAGTGCTAAATACTGTTAGGTTTTTTTTCCTGCCACTCCACATTGAGTAGATATTTTCAGACAACGATACATGACTCCAAGTCTATGTCTTGAATGCCAGAAGCTAATTTAGACCCCATAATTGCGTACATATAGTTGGGATTATGTTTTCCAGTGTGCATTACTTTTCACTTATCCATATCGAATTTCATCTGCCATTTTGTAGCTCTGTCACCCAGTTTGGTTTGGACTTTTTGGAGCTCTTTGCAGTCAGCTTTGGACTTAACTATCTTGAGTAATTTAACATCATCCTCGCACTTTACCATCTCACTGTTTACCCCATAGTCCCGATTATATGACTCTATTGAATAGCATAGGTCTGAGTACAGATTGTTTGGGTCCCTACTCCATCCACTGTAAAAACTGACAATTTTTCCTGCCTTTTGTCTTCTATCTTTTAACTGGTTACTGATCCAGAAGAGGATTTTGTTCTTTTCTCATGACTGCTTACTTTGCTTACAAACTTTATCAAAAGCTTTCTGAAAGTCCAAGTATACTGGATCACCTTTGCTTTTAAAAGTATGAAAAGGGAAATGTTTCAACCTAAACCAGTAATGTGCAACCAAGACTAATGAGTGGACAACATGAGTGGCCATCCTTCATCTCGGTGGGTCATAAGATTGAAATTGGGCATGTGCACTAACCATAACCTCAAGAATAAGATTAAATATGCCGTTCTTTATTCTCCTTCTTTATCATGCCTTTTCAACACAAGGTGATTCATTATTCGGGGCAAATTAAATTGCTGACAAAAGTAACATAAAGGGGAAGATTCGTGGCATTCAAGCTCTGAGAGGGAGCAATTAGTCGATTCACAGCGTTCCAGAAATGTTGTTAGGGAGGGTGAGAAGTAAATGCATGCTGGTGGCCCTGCACTTCAGAAGCACAGGGAGAGAGTGCAGGGATGGGGAAGCTGCACGGTCACATGTAGAATCCCAGTGGGCTACATGCAAGCTGCACGATGCCCACCACTGATCTAAACAATCTCTACAAAAGGGGTTTTTTTTCTAATTTTTTAAATTTTAACTGGAATTCTGTTAAATTGCTGTGAAATTGTAACCTTGGCAACATATTGCCATTGGTAAATCAAAATTAGACTTGAGGCCCAAAACAAAATAATTGATACATAATAAAATGTGTATTTAACCAAAACTATCAGATAAAAGATTCAAGTAAAATATTAAATGAATTGTTAATGACATAGTTATCTACGATAATAGAAATGTCGAACTGGAAGGGACCTCAAGAGGTCATGTAGTCTGTTGCCCCACCATACTGAGACATGATTAAGGTTACCTTCATAGACCATCTCTGGCAGATCTAAGCTGTTCTTAAAGATCTAATCATGGGGATTAGATAAACTGTTTCAGTGCTTAACTGTCATTAATGTTTTTTCCTAATATCCAACATGGAAAACAATTAATCACCACCCACTTCCTAGCCATCTTTTTTACATATTTCAAGAAATTATCATGCCTCTCTTTGGCATTCTCATCTCTAGACAAAACCTGCCTAGTTTTTCAACTTTACTTCATAAGTCATGTTTTCTAAATTTGTTACAATTTTTGTTGCTCTCATGTGGACTCTCTCCAACTTGGGCACTTGTTTCATAAATTGTGCTACCTAAAACTAGATACAGTATTCCAGCTGAGACCTCACCAGTGCAAACAGAACAAAACAATTAACTCCTGGGCCTTGCATACAACACTATTGTTATTACATCCCAAAAAGATGCTTGCCTTTTTCTCAAAAACATCACACTGCAAATCTCAGCACAGTTTTTTAAAAAGGTCTTTATGTTAGCTACAAGCATTATCTTATCTAGTGAAGTTCTTTGGATTGCTGCAGAGTTATAATTTTTTATGATACGCATGACTTTTGTTAACTTTTTTGTTTAGGTTGGTGGAGGAGACTTTCACAATAGATGAGGTGATAGAAATGCTGGATGGGTTGCAGACTGTGGTACACAGTGAAGTGGAATCAGAACTCATTAACACGGCATACACCAATGTGTTACTTCTACGCCAACTCTTTTCACAGGCTGAGAAGTGGTACCTTAAGCTACAAACTGACATCTCTGAGCTGGAAAATCGGTAACTTCATTTGACGTATAGAGAATAGTTTTACTGATACCTTTAAACTGACTACATTCATTTTGTTAACCTCTTAATCTTAGAATATGATCTGAGAGGTATATTATACCAATAACAATTTTGTTTCAGATGCAGTTTTTCAATTAAAGTATTACAAATGATGCTTTAAACTTTTACATAAAATGAAATCATTTGCCCATGTAATTAATAATCTTGCTTACTTAGAACTTTCTTACTTAGAATTTATTTTTATTTATGTATGTGGCATATATATGTTGCCTTCTTTTGTAGTGATCTGGGGTGTGATTCTGTGTGCCTAATGGAAGTTTTCCTTGAAAAAGAACCACAGCAGAAGAACTGTAAATTGTATTTAACAACATTGTCTAATAAACTTAATGTTTCCCTTTATTTGTCTCTCCAAGAGAATTGTTAGAGCAGGTTGCTGAATTTGAAAAGGCAGAAATTACATCTTCAAACAAGAAGGTAGAGATTGATTATCCTAAAATACTATAATCAAATGCCTTGTGAAACCTCTAGAGCTGTTAAAGAAGTTTACAATAAACTATTTTATTGTGCTTACAAGGAAAGATATTTATGCTAGAACCTTTAAAGATGTTCAAAAATAGCAGCCTATAGTTAAGCTCCAAAATCTTTATATAGTTGCTTCTTAACGTATGCATATCATGCCTCAAGTGGCCACCTCAGCTGATTCGTGACCCCCTAATTACTTAAGTAAATGATCTAACTTTTCAAAAGTGCTTTTTAACTGACCTCTTTGGTCTTTTGGGGGGAATGGGGGTGCAATTTCCATTTTAAATCTTGACCGTATGAGAAATTGCAAGGTAGAAAGTAACAGAAAGAAAGGTTTATCTGATATAATCACATATTCTTGTTTGCATCATAGTGTAAATTTATATCCAATTAACATACAGAATATTTGAAAATTTAAATACATTACAGTGAACAGAAATTATTTTAAACTATGTACATTTTTATGACTATTAATTCTGTGCTCATTTAATGATATAGGCATTCATTATTTCTTTTAGTGTTTTCTAACTTATATGACTTGTGATAATTGCATCATTGGGAGATGTATGTATAATTTAAGATCCTGCCTCCCATCTTTTAAACAGTAGTTAAATAAACTTCAGTTCTAAGGATGCCAATTGTAAAATAAATGTATTGTTATGTTTTACTTAAATGTAGTTTCAGAAATATCTTATCTTTATTTTGTCTTTTAGACTTTGAAAAAAGAATCTGTTTGAAAAAAATTGAACTCTGCAAATATTAAAAAATTGAAAACCAAGTTATATAGTATTTGTTAGTTTTAATGAAAGGGACCAATCCTGATGAATTCAGAATAAACAGTCATTGATTGCATTTCACCAGACAGCATAAAGGATAGAGTTGAAATAGTTATTTTAATTACTAAAAAAAATGCTAGAAAGAAAACATGACATTTAATTTTTTTGTCTTTTTGTCATTATTTTAGCCCACTTCAGAGCTTATTAAGCCTAAACTTGCTCCATTAAATGAAGGTGGGTCAGAGCTGCTAAACAAGGTAGGAATTCTTTCCCTTGACATATTTGGGCTTGATGAGCATTTAATTTATTCAAATGAATTTAGATGCTACCCAGTGATCAGAGTTTGGATAATACGTCCAACATTATTTATTAGGCATTATAATATTCTGCAAAATGTAAAGGAAAACTACAATCATTTAATAAATGAAACACTTCTGAAGATTCATTTAACTATGTGCTTGTGGCATTTAATATATTGCCAATGTAAAATTACTTTTTTAAGATTTTTAGGAAAAACTATTATTGTTACAATTCCTCTATTTAATTAATAGGATTAGTGGGAGGTGATGTTTTGCTGATTGTTTCATAAGGCTGGAGTTCCTGCTGGATAGTAGATTGAAACTTGTGTAATGCTCATCATTGGAGTTAATGGGATATTGGTGTTATACTTAAACGAAGCACACAAAATCCTTTATGGGGAAAAGGCAATACGCCACATTTATTGAGAATACAACAGTTGCAAATGCTTTTAAATCACTCACAGACAAACAGTCCCGCAAGACGATGTCATAGTTACCAGTCCAGAGTCTGTATCAATCTAGTGGCCAGCTAGATCGAACACAGATGGGGAGCAAGGCCTTTGTCGGTCGATTGATCCAATGCTCCTCTGGAGTTGGTGGCAAGATGAACCCAAAGTTCCATAGCAAAGCACCCTGCATTTATAATCCTTTTCTCTGTTGAAATCTATGGATTTCGCTGTGTCAGCGTGTGACCGGAGTGTTATCTCTTTGGTGTCAGTGTTCCCAAAACATTTTCCAAAGCCCATCCTGTAATCAGTCATCTTTGAGGGGTTCTAGCTCCACTTTAAGGCCATCAATCTGCCATTATCCAATCTTGTGAGTAGGGGTACGCATCAATTGTTAGAGATGGTTTTTCTTTGACACTGGGTCATCTAGTTTTCGCCCACGCTTACCTCTCCTTCGGTCATCTGGTTCTGAGCAATAACTCCAGATTGAAGCGTCAGGAGCAGGTGTGCATGAAAATCAAGGTGGTCCAGTGAGACCCCCGACCCTGAGCCCTGAGCTTAGAATGGCCATACTGGGTCAGACCAAAGGTCCATCTAGCCCAGTAGCCTG